TACTTGTGAAAAGTTCAGCATCCATCCGGAAGAGCTCAGCTGGCCGTTTACATTTTTGTGCCTCTAAATGAGCTAAGTTTTAGAAAAGATTATTGTTCTGACTCAGAACCGACAGGGAAATCCACCTCTGGATAGGGATGTAGTGTGAATCTAAAGCGTTTTCCTTAGATTTCTGGACTTACTCAGGCATCAACATCAGAATAACATACTGAAAAAAATCATTCTTCCTCGGTCACCTGTTCAACTCACTCTGCTCTGTTTACCACATATACTCGACTTTATTATTTTAATTTATGTGTCTCAGTCAGAGGCAGGATGATTGCTCTATGTATCTCCCCCGGGCTTTGGTTTTCAGCAGATCGTTGGTGACAAGCAGGTGCTATGTGTCATTTAGGACGCAAACCGATTGCTGCCTGTGGGAGAAGAGCAGCTGTGCCGCGTCTCCAGATCGTGGCTTTTGTTGGGCATTTTCACCTCCGATGTATTACGATGTGATTTTATAATTTCTCTCTCTCTTCCCGCCCATTGCACAATGAAGTGATAATGATTAGATGTTGTATTTTTGTCAGACTAATAAAATAGCAAATCCAACAAGCTTTGTTTCTGATTTCGTTGTTCTTTTTCAGCCTTTTGTTGTTCTGTCTGAAGCTTTGTCTTTAGCTGTTGCTTGTCCCCTCCTTGGCCTTTGATGTTTCAGGCTGATCCCTAACGAAGTGGGCAGAGTATTGCTCGAAAACAATCCCAAGGCCTTTATATTTGTTCTGGCGGTATTGCAAGAACGATTAATCTGTAAACGGGAAAATCTGTCAGAAATTTAAGGCCTGATACATTGTCGTGCATCAGACAACAAAAATACGTTACATCCTCAGAAAGCCCAGGATACTCGGGTCTCTGGTTCATTTTGGGGCTGACAGTTCCCACTTGTTGGTTGATACCTCTGCAAGAGCAGTCTTGCTTTTTCCACCAGTTCAATTCTGATACGGTTTTCATGACTTTTGAGAACCTCTGGAGCGAAAACCACTATTCTAAACTCTCTGAAACCTCAGGTTCTCAGCTTTCGAGTAGTTTGAAGCCTTTGTTGTGGGATAGCTGCTACAATCATCTGAAAATTGCGGTAGCAAAGATAAATCTTTTGTAGCTGTTTTGGTTTCTCATTGCTACTATTAAAAGTGCTTTGAGGACAAATGAAGTTAATGACAAATATTGGAAATAGTTTAAATCTTAAGGAGGAAAATTAGGTGACTGGCATAGGGTTTGGATCAGGAAGAGCAGCCATCTGGAGACAGTGAATGCCTCATTTTTGTGTGGACTACAGGACAGTTGAGACCTGGCTGTACTTAATGTTTATAGCGCTAGTAACTTACAGGTGATGGAGAGTAATTCAGGTGAGGTCCTGCAAGAACTTCCCTTCTTTTTCTCCCAGGACTTTTAGTTATCCTTTTCCAAGGAAGAAAGACCAATTACCTCTTGTGCTGGGGTAACATCAAACAGTTCCTATGCGCGCTAAAGCCCTCTTGTATTGCAGCTGTGTCTCCTGTCCTGCAGAGGTTGGATTAAGCTGGAGCGGGCTCATTTTTCACAACCCATTAATTTTTTGAGCTCTTCTCTCTAAAAGCCTAGTTAAAACCAAAGTGCAACGTTTCTTGCTTATGTCTTAATCATAGTTACCCGCTGCTGAAGCTGCCACTGCCTGGAACAGGACCTGTGGAGTACAGCACCTCCATCAAGGATTACTCTCCACCCTCTCCGGACGCGGGTCTGCAGCAAGGGGATCTCAGCGAGCGTCCCGACTGGGTGAGTCCTGCATTGAGGGGTGTGCGGGGGGGAGATGAGCTGGTGGAACATCCCTGCTGTGTTACCTACGCTTTACTGTAACCGACGGAAATAGTTCTAGTGACGCACGCGTTGCTTTGTGTAACTGCTAAGTTTAGGTTGTATTTGTCTTGTCTTAGTCTTATTCTACCAGAAAAATGGATGCTAGGTGTTTGCAGGACATAAAAGCTTTGAAATGCTGTTTAAGAGCCCGTTTTCCAAGGATAACTTTATCTAAGGCAAGTATTAAAGCATGAATAGTTTTAAATAAGTTTAGTGATGGGTTCTGGTATAACAGTCCCCAGTTTCCTAATGTCATGTGAAGGCACGCAGTTTCCCCAGAGCAGCAGGACAAGCCTCCTGCTGGCACACACTGCTTCACATACCTGTGCTTGGCCTTCTCTGAAGGGTGAGAATAGGATTTAGTCAGCCTTTGCTGCGGTAACTGTCTGCGGAGACGCTACCAGTAATTACGATGGTGGTTTTGGTGTTGTCAACCTCTCTCTGAAGGGATCTGGGTTTGGATTCTGGCTATCAACCAGCTTATCCTTACAGGATCACTAACTAGCTGTCAGAATGGAAACATCTGTCTGGCCCGGAGGTGGAAGACAGACTGTCCAGCTCCTCAGTGCTTGCAATTTTCTCTCCTTTGGCTTTAAAATACTGCATCTCGCAGGGTTTTTTCTGATGACATAGGTAGTCTAGGCTTCACCTCCCAAGACATAGGCTTTTTTCTTAAGGACACAATCAAGAGTTTTTCGTTTGGATTAGAATTTAGGCAGCCAAAGAGACAGCTACCTATTTAGGTAGCTGTGTAGCTAGCTACTACAGGATGGTCTGGGGAGTGTAGGGATGCTTGGAGAACCTGGTGAATTGGGTTTAATCTAAAGGTAGGGTTTGGTTTTGGTTTGGTTTGGTTTGGTTGGGGTTTTTTTAATTGGTTGGTATGTATCATGCAGGTAAACTAGACTTATATCCTTATGTTAAGGGTAAGGAATTAACTTTTCTTTTGCGTTAACAACCTGGAACCCCGAGGCTTTCCAAGAAGTCTGATAGCCTGGTCCAGGCAATCAGGAAACAATTCTGCAGTCATCCGTTGTAACCTGCATTGTTCTTTTCCATGCCAGGGTTTCTCCTAAGTATAAGTTACCTGGTGGATTAATACTTTTGATGCCTCCAGCTCTCTACTCGCTCCATGTGTGCTTTTTTTCACTGTGATTGAAATAATTTGCACCCTGGTGCCACTGAGAGCTTTTTGCACTATGCTGTTGACTCGGGCTGCTGCTGGCTGATTAAATCTTCCCTTCAGCTTTGTTGCCTAGTTCAGCTAATAGAGCACAAAAGTTCTGGCTGCCACGGCATGTCAGCGCTGTGGTCCCCAGCGCAGGGTCAGCAGCCTGGGCACAGAGACCAGGAGGATTTAAATGGCACACAGCAGAATCAGCGCAGCGTTGTGAGAGGCATCGGTGAGAGGCAGTGAGTCCCTACTCCTGCCTTTCATTCCAGTACCAAATCCAGCAGGAGCTGGGAGCCTCTGCCTCACAAAGAAGCACGACAGACTGATGCCAAAACGGTCAGTGGCGGTTTGCTTCTTGGAGAAAGAGACTCTTTTTGTTCTTGCTAAGTTAGTACTGTCATGTTTCACCTCTAATTTGGGAAAGGAAAATACAGGCTGGCAAACCCCTTCCTGAAAAGTTGCCAAGCTGTGGTCTAATTCTGCTAAGCAGCTTCCCACTCACCGTGTGTTTTCATTCTCCCTCTGGTTTACTGGTTTACAGTATGTTGGTGCTCCTGTGGCCTACATTCAGCAGATCTTTGTGAAGGCTACCGTGTCCCCATGGCAGAAGAACTTCCTTGCTGTCGATGTGTTTCGCTCACCGCTGTCCCGCGTCTTCCAGCTAGTGGAGGAGATTAGAAACCATGCCCTGAGAGACAGGTAATCACTGTTCATTAAAGTCTGTGTAGAAGGCAGACTGGCCCACTGTTGTACACACCCCTCTTCTAAATGACTCATAAGTCTGATTATTAGCTTTGAATTTGTAAGATTCTCAAAATTAAAAGAAAATGAGAGGTCGCTGCTAACAAGTGACATCGTATCCATCCTTTGTGTAGAGAAGTTCAGCTTTTGTGCTGGAGAACTTGCCTGTCCTCTAGTCACTGATAATTGTCAGGAACCTTCCAGTCGGAGGCTTAGGCAGAAGGGGCTGGAAGGCTTCTCCAAGGTTATGCCTGCTACAGCAGACAGCAGTGTCATCTAATCCCTTCATGAGCACGCAAGCTTCGTATTAAAGCGAGTTCATTTGACCCCCCCCCATGCCTATTGTGAAGCTCTTCTAGAATTCCACGCGGTCAGGAACCTTCTCCTGACTTTCTACTTCAACTATATTTAGGACCAGTTTATACCTGCTTGTTTTTGTCTTTGTACAAAAATAGCTTTCCTCTGCTTCCAGGTATTTACAGGGAGAACTTGTACTCCCCACCCCAAATCCTTGTTGTTAAGCTAAACATACGAAATTCTTGGCTTACTCTGGTGAGGCGGCTCTGTATTCATTTGTCATTCTGGTTGTTCCTCTTGGCACTGGTGGTGGTGGTGTATCATTCCCGAACGTGGGAGATTAGAACTGTACACAATATTCTCAGAAAAATCTCATTTGTGCGTTGTTTTCCTGAAACACAGCAAGATTGCAGGACCCTTTTTCATGGCCAGTCACATCAATTTTACACGTTATGAAATGATCAATTAATGTCTCCGTGTCCCTCTGTCATTTCAAGCTGATGAGCTCCCACCTTAGAGCAGAAATCCTTCTTGGTCTTGCACTTTGTACTCTTAGTAGAAAAGGGATTTAACTTATTCCAGCCCTCACATCATCCGTTTTATATATTCTGTTCCTTTTCTGTATGAACAGTGTTTCTTTATTTTGTGTTATTGGCAGATGTCCCGAGGTTATTAATAAAAGTACATAATAATCCTGGTTTTCTGAACTGTCTGTGAGAAATTCCACTTTCTTTTCCTCAGTACTGGTGGTTCCCCTTTCAGCAGCTCTGTGACCATTTCCCTGTTAACCTGGTTCTTTATGGCATCACAATGTTTGTGCTAATTTTTGTGTCTTTCCTGTGAGCTAAAGCATTTTCTGTGTGGTGCTGCATCAAAAGCTTTACTGGGGCCCACGGAGAAGAGATTTGCTGTGCTTTCCTCATCCAAGAAGTCAGGCATTTTAAAGAAAAGACCGCTCAGATTAGTTTGGCACGTTCTCTCTTTGTAAACCAAGAATGCGTTTTATACACATAAACTTGCCTCTGTTTTGTTGTTTGTTTTTTTTTTTAAATAATTTTTCCTTTGGGTTCTAAGTTTTTATCTGTGGTCAAGTTCTTGGCTGGGTTTACTTTCTAAGGATAGAAACGCTTCCCTACTTGTCTGTCTGTGTTCAGTGAGAATAATGATGCTGAGAACAGGCCAAGTGTGGTGAAAAATGGTGAGATTAGAGTCTTTGATCATCTCCTAGCTTTTGCAGCCAGGAGCTTTCTTCACTCTTTGTCCTTTAACTCACATGGGTAGGGAAGATTTACTGCTTGTTCATCCTTCTTGACAGCATCCTTCATTGCTTCGTTTTTGAGGGTGTCCCCTTTGCTACTCTACCTGATGATTTGTCCTTGTTCTTAAACCATTCCTTACAAGCTAGCTGCCTGCTCTCCCTCTGGTAGTTTGTTTAGAAATGCCATTTATGCTGTTAAATACGTTGCTCTTTCCTATCAGCTCACAAAGCCTTGGCACTGACATTCTTCCTGTGTTTCCAGTTCATCTCCTCCTTTACTGTATGTGTAACTTTAGATTGTAATCTGTGTGTAGTTGCCAACTGCATCTTAGAAACAACTTGCTCCCAGGACGCGTGTTGACTCCTCATTATCTCCCCTTGGTGTTGCCCTTGATGAACAGTGATGCAGCATGGAAGCAAAATTAAACCTACGTAGCCACCAGAAGAAAAAGACTTTAGCATTTAGACCTAAACCTTGGGATAAGGGCTCCCATTTTGTTGATGGACTCGGGTATTTCAGGAAACATCTAACTTTGAGATAAATTCTGAAATGACCTCAAAAGTCATCATGAAGTTCCTCATCATTTGCTTTTGTCGGTATCAAAGCTAAGTGCAGCTGATTTTCTTAATAAGAAAAAAGCATTATTTTATACTAAAGTGGTACAGGAAAAGCTGAAGATTATTGACAACTGGGTAAGAAACATGAGGTGAACATTTTTTCATCAGCTGTAAGATCACTGAAACGTTGAGCAGTCGTCATTTGTAAAAAGTCAGAAGTGACCTGGAATTTGTAAGTTGCTCTAGTTCCTGGTATCACTCTGCATCCCCAGACATTGGCTGTGTGCGTTTGCTTCACAAATAAGAAAGTACTTAGGTTTATCTGCAGTATAAACTGTTATCACTGTTATGTTGCAGAGTTGAAATATGAAACAACAGTTGTCTTACTCTTCCTGGAGCTGTTATTGGAGGCATCACTGCATCAGTTCCTTTAGATTATCTTTCAGAAAGCTTCTGTCAGTATTTTTGAGCACATTTTCTAGTATTTTCTTTTGATAGCTGTGACTTTTCTAGGTAGCTTGCCTTATAGTGACAGAATATAGGTTCTGGAGGGAGTGTTCACAAAGACATAAATCATCATTCCATTAGTTGGTTTCCACGTTTTCTCTTTGTAGTCATTGAAACTCCTCTACAGAAGGCGTTTTACAATAGGACCCGAACTGATTTGCCTTCTGGAGCTGCTTTCTCTGTAATCTGTGAGACTGGAGCCTGGGGAGACTGGTCTCTCATATCTTAATTTAACCTTCCTTAAATATACCTTCCCGTGCAAATCCCACCAGTTGCGCCTATCATGTTGAAGGAAATGTTCTCTTTTGGACAGGCAGCTCTTCCTTGTCTAGCCAAACAGCGTGCTGACAGGTTTTATCATTAAACCTTCACAGTTGGATCCTATTGTAAGCCCCAGTCGAGGCTTGCTTGAATTGCTGGTTGATAAGGATCATGTAATTGTGTTAAAATGAAGCTTGGGAACAAACACAAGTTCTGTTTCATACCAGTTACGCCTCTATTGATTTCTGAACCTGTAAGGCATTTTCTTTTCCATACAAACCAGAGAAATTCTGAAAACATTTTGCACAATCGCTGATATTGAATTCTTTGTACATTTTAGAGCACTCGGTACACCTTAAATATTCCACCAGGAAGGCTAATAAAGATTTCTGTAAAACGTCCCATTGCGTACATGGTAAGAAGTATGCAGAGAGTTTAAGGTCTCTGAGGAAGAATTCCAGGGAGACAGTTTCTCTGTAGGCTGGAGGCATCTTTAACGTAGAACTGAAAACTGTGGTGCCTGGGATGAGTGAAGAGTGAGAGCACTGTGTGGCCAGACAGTATGCAGAGAAATGATAATGGGGTTCTGGAGTCTGTACCCCTGTTACAGAAAGAACCTGGTCTGTGGCCCCAGGCTCTCAATCCTCAGTTATGAAGGACAAGAGTAGCAACACGGTGATGCAGGTCCTTGGGGTATTCATCGCGGCAGCTTTGCCTTTTGCTTGTGAGAGTTGCAACATACATGGCAGCATCTAACCTTTGTTTGCGTTTCAGTTCTGGTGTCAAAAGCTTGGAGGAAGTTTGCCTTCAGGTAACAGATCTTCTGCCTGGCCTCAAGAAGCTGCGGAATCTGCTCCCCGAACATGGCTGTCTGTTACTGTCTCCAGGGAACTTCTGGCAGAACGACCGAGAGCGATTCAATGCTGACCCAGATATCATCAAAACCATCCACCAGCATGAACCAAAGACATTACACACATCAGCTACTCTCAAAGGTAACAGGCTGAAGTGCCAAAGAAGCTGTGAGACGTGCCTACAGCTTGCATCGCTGTTTTGTCCTTACGATCTCCAACATCTAGATTGCCAGTATTACCAAATTGGGTGGCATTTTGTTACTCACAGCGTCTGGAATGAAACTACCAAATATATGTCATCTCTCATTTTATATCTGTGTTTGACTTTGGCTCTGTATTTGTGGACAGTGAATGATTCCACTCAGACTCCTTTCTGTAGGTGTAAAACCAGCAGGTAACGTGTCCAAGTCTTTCTGTTCCTCAGACTCTACATATGCTCTAACCCATTTTTTTCCCTCACGCTATGGTCTGTCATACTGAAGAATTGTCCCATTGTCACAGATAAATGAACATTCATCCTGCTCCCTCTTGTGCAACTGATAGTTGCTTGCATATACCCTGAGTTACACTGGATATCGTAAAAGTATTTTTCTCTCTTAATTAAAAAAGGTAAGACTAACCATGTCTGGGATCATGCTGTTCAGTGGTTCCATAAGGCCAGAGGGAATGCTGTTCCTTTGGTTTTAAAGGGACTTTGTAGCTGTCAGGAAGCCTATAGTACGATGTGTCTGAATAGGGGGTTTGTAACCCTAAAATGAGTTTGGTTTAAAGGTTATTTCCTGTGCATCCAGAGCATGTGCACACTGTGGTTTGGAGCACGTGGAGCCTGTCTTTGAGCGCTCATTCATAAACAAGATAGAGGTCCACAATGCCCCGGGAATTCCTGAGAATAGTGGTAGTGTTCATCAGGATGCATAATTCTTTTAAGTCTGCTTTTTAGCACGCAAGATTAACAGAAGAGACATTGAATAGTCCTTCGCAGTGCAGAGCCTTCCTGGGACCTCTGGTTCAAATCACACACCGACAGGCACGAAAACGAGCGACTGAGGATTTCTTTGGCTGCATCCCTAAAGATAATGTCTGTTGAAAGACAAATTGGGTGCCCACTTGATGTGCCTGTGCACTAACACACACAGCATGGGGAGCAAACGGGAGGAATTAGAGGTGCGTGCAGTTGGAGGGCTACAACCCCATCCAGCTCACAGAGATGACGTGGGGTAGCTCGCAGTACCGGAGTGGATTATGGGTTAGGATTAGAGGGCAGACCTTGTCTGATATAGAATCGTAGAATCATAGAATGTTTAGGGTTGGAAGGGACCACTAGTGGTCATCTAGTCCAACCCCCCTGCAGTGAGCAGGGACACTGCTAACTAGATCAGGTTGCTCAGAGCCCCATCCAACCTGGCCCTGAATGTTCCCAGGGATGGGGCCTCCACTACCTCTCTGGGCAACCTGTTCCAGTGTATAGACTGCCCGAGCAGGAATATGAGGACAGACAACTTCCTCACAGGAAGGAAGATTTTTCTTGTGTTTAAGGGGAATTTCCCGAGTTTTAAATTGCACCCGTTGCCTCTTGTCCTGTCACTGGGCACCGCTGAGAAGCTCCACCTTCTCTACCCCCCTGCATCAGGTATTTATCCGCATATGGTCTCACCAGAGCACTGAGAAAGCACTTCCTGTAAGAACAGTAATTCTCACTCATCATTCTTCACGATGAACACCTCGTGTATCCCCTCTTTTTTATTTATTTTCTTGTTATCCTAATGTTGCGTTCATGCCACGTTTTTTCAGATCTGTTGTTTGGACTCCCTGGGAAGTACAGCGGGGTGAACCTCTACAACAGGAAGCGAGTGGTGTCATACACTGTCACACTGGGTCTCCAGCGATATGATTCCAGGTAAGGAGCTTTAGCTGTGCTGTTTTCTATGGTAGGGATCCCTTCTTCAATTCTTGGCAGGTTGGCTGTTTTCTGTACTCTTGATTATTGTTATGTTTTTCTTTAATCTCCATTTTCTTGTGGTTTAGAGTATTTTAGGATCTTCTGAACGTGCTGTAGAAAAACAGGGTGCTGGTTTGGGGAGAAAACTTGCTGTGTTTTAAGGAAATAAAATACTATCAGTTCTCAATTTCTCTTTAAGAAAAGTATATACAACATCCAAAGCTGCCAACGGGAGTTCCTCTGATGATGGCTTCATCTGCACACAGAGCTGTCATTGTTGCAGCCAAGGCCCAGCAGGTCTGTTTTGACCTAGTTCCTGGTACATAAGGGCGGTTTGCTTTCCAGTAAGCGCTAATTCCACTGGTATCAATTGTGAAACCCCTTTGGCAGTGTTGGCAAAGCTGGCTTGGACTGAGTGGATCTGAGGACTAAACACTCTGCTCAGTGCCGCACAGAATTCCCCAAGGAATGCCTAGGATAGAATTGGCAGCACGGTAGTCCAAACTTGCTCTGGTGCCGCCCGTGCAAGAACCCTTCAGCCTCAAGGACTGTCATGTAGCACCTTTCATCAGCTGTACTTACGTAAAATTCAGGGGATGCTTGAGACTACAGCATGGAAAAGCACCTGGGGGTGTTGGTTGACAGCCAGCTAAACATGAGCCAGCAGGGTGCCCAGGTGGCCAAGAGGGCCAGTGGCACCCTGGCTTGTCTCAGGAGTGGTGTGGCCAGCAGGAGCAGGGCAGGGACCGTGCCCCTGTGCTGGGCACTGGGGGGGCCGCCCCTCGAGTGCTGGGGTCAGGGTTGGGCCCCTCCCTCCCCGAAGGACCTGGGGGGGCTGGAG